CCGCCAAGGGCTCCCGCACCAGCCTCGCCGAGGCGGACTGCAACACCACCGAGCTGGTTGGCGGCAGCGGCGGCGAGCTCCACGTGGAGCAGGAGCGCGTCAAGACGCAGCTGAGCACCAGCCTCTACATCGGCCTGCGCCTCAGCACCGACCTGGACGCCGTCAAGGCCGACCTGGAGGGCACGCGCCGCGCCTGGGAGGAGAAGGAGCGGGAACTGCAGGCCCTGCTGGACACCCTCCGGGCCCTCGAGGTCGCCGAGGCCAACGAGGAGGGGGGGCCGCCGCCGCTGGGCGAGGGCAGCGGGCTTCCCCAGCCGGCCCCGAGCCCCTCGGAGGGCTGGGCGGAACCGGAGGCGCGGACCTTGTGCAAGGACAGCGAGGAGAACGACGAGGATTCCGACACGGGCTTGAGTTCCATGCATAGCCAGGATTCGGACTCGGTGCCCGTGTGCGAATCCCTCGTATAGCAGCTGCCGCCGCCGCCTCGTTTTCCGCAGCCCCCTCCCGCCTGCTTCCCCCCTTTTCATCGTCTCAGGGACTCCCGCCTTGCTCTTCCTCGTCGTTTTGCCCGCCGTGCAATAAAAGAGCTTTGCAAAACGCCGGGAGGAGGCATTCCTGGATCCTTCATCCCCGAAACCCACCTCAGGCCGCCGCCCCCCCGCTCTCAAAAGAGCGCGTGTTTCCTTATGCACTGTAGACATCATCGTTAGGATACACGACGGTAGTACTTAATGGTCGCCCAGTTACCTCCTTGGAAGAGTCACGTTAAAAACAAAAGAAAGCTGCTCCCCTCCCCCGCTTTTAATTAGAAGCGGATTTCGCCCTGCTTTTTTTATTGTGAAATCTGAAAGGGAAGAAGTCCAGGCGTTGTGGTGCATCTTGACTGGAGGAGAGGTGCTCAGTTCTCTGAAGAAACACTGTGGGAGACTAATGTTATTTTGTGTTCTTGTAGCCAGTAAAAGGAAACACCTTGCATTTTAATTGCAGCTTTGATACCAAAACATGTTAAAGCGAGTCCCTGGTGGGCAGAAAGTTTATTCCTGTCTCCTTCCTGCTTTTATTATTTTGATAAAAGCAGGAATGGGGCAGGAATTACTTGCATTTCATTCAGTATTGCAGTTATCTTTCTATTTCTCATCAGATATTTTTATTTTTTAAAAAATGGAAGTTCTGATCCTTGGATTTTTTTTTGTAAACACGGGACAAGGTGTATTTCCTTTTGAAATTCATATCATCTGGGGGCTTTTCCATGAAACTAAATGTTGGCACCTTGAACCCTGTCCCCCCCAATAATACAAAGGCAGCCAGTTATCTAGCAGATAGTACAATTGCCCCCCCAAAAATTGATTTGCTGTGATGAGAATAAAATAAAACAGTGGAAGACATTGCATCAATATTTTCTGTTTGCTTGTCAACATGTTTGGAGTGGGCTCTGTTTTATATCCAAATGAGATTTTTTTCTCCCTTTGCCCTAATTGCTACAGCTTCTTGATGGCAATTAAGGAGTCTCCAGATGATTTTCAAGTGGGCGCCAACTCACTGGACTGGCACATTCCTAGCAGGGACTTGTTAATTAGCAGCAAAAAGCCCCTGTAAGTTGCACTGTTTGCCTTCTGCAGGTGTAGCTATGCAACAGGACTTTGTTTCATGATAATGAACCACAGAAGGCAAGTATTGTACAAATGAAACCACCTCAACCCACATGCGTAGTGTGCAGATTCTGTTCCTCTGAAATGAATGAATGGTAACTGTAGGACTTAAGGTGATTTGCCCCACATCAGTTGAAGGCTGCTAGAAATATTTGGGTGGCAGTCCTGTAGGCACTTACCAAGGAGTAAGGCCACCAGAAAAAGACTCAGCACAGAGTATACCACACGTTTGCAGTGCTTTAGCATTAGTTATTTCATGGTGCTCCCTCATGATTGTTTACGTAAAAGCGAAAGAACATCCAGCATTGTTCCTCTTTTGAAACTCTGTGGTTTGTTTCAATGGTATTTTATTTAAAAGGTCTGCCAAGGTTCTTTAATAGTTTGGGCTGCATGAGAATAAAAAAGATCTAAAAAAATCTCCCCAACTTCAAAGGCAGGTAGAGTTAGAAGCTGAGTATTACAAGTGAGAAATATGTCTTAAAAGCTCTGCTATTCAGATTGCAGAAAAAGAGAGCAGTGGCAGTATCTTGTTGCTAGTTTCAGCTATAATAAATCAACGCTGATCTAAATTCCATTGAGTCAGCCGATCTGTTTTCCTTGGGACTGGTGCCTTGGGTGATTGGAAGATAACATTGATCAGAACCAGCCCTACCATTAGGCATAGGATGGCTACCTCTTCTGGCTAGTGGCTGTTGGAGGAGGCAGTGGCCTATTCTCATAAATTTCTTTTGCTATTCCCCCCCCCCCC